CATGACCTGTTTTGAAGTTATACCTATCTGCATTGGATCCTGGCTTTATCATGTTTGAAAAACGTTTTTAAAAAGTCAGCAAACGAAATAACTGAAAAGAGATAATACTACAAAGTGAATAGTTATTGCATGCGTTGTTAGCGATGTGTTTATTTTATAAATCTTCTATGTGTTACGTAGTTACATAGTCAGAGCTTTTTTCGTTTGAGCTTTATTTTAACAAAATAAGGTATACTGTTGAGTTAGGGGCTTTAAAAATGAGCTTAATATACCCTTTTTGATGCAAAAGGTGACTAATGGTGACAAAATTTGCTTCCGCTTGATGGTTAGCATGAGGGGCTGGTGGTTAAAAAGTGTGGGTCCCAATCTTACCATTTGGTCAGCCAAGGTGGGCAAACGTGGATCATACATGGGCAGGTTTCATGGTTCTGATTATCTCGGTGATAAATAATAGGTGTTCCGTAAAGGACTCAACGTAAACAAAACTAACGAACTTTATCTGGGCCATGAGAATAGTTAATGGATAAAGATATTGAGGTACATAATGAAATCACAATACAAAGCCTCTGCCCTCGGTCCTATCGTCCTACCTGCCCAGACTGTATCATTTTTTAAGCGTTGGAAATGCCTCTCCTGCACAATACGGCATAAACTAAGACCACTTGACGTTTGTTTACAATAAGCATATAACGTTTATTTCATATATTTGTAAAATTTTGATATTCTTTAGAATATTATGCCATAATGGACGTGACATCAGAAAGGACCACAGGATGATAGACAGATAATTGTATCATTCCTCATGCCTAATATAAATTATGTAACATAACCTTGTAGTATTCAACATTTATTTCTCTACCACAGACTATAATTATTCACGTGTTTCAATAATTATAATTTAATTAGAATTTCATTCTGATGGTAATGGCAAAGTTATTTTGAAAGTATCAAATAAAGAAACGGAAAAATACTAAAAAAAATGGAGTAAGAAATAAATACATAAAAACGCATTTGTATCTAATTCCGATTTTAAGAAATAGTTTTATCACTTATGAACACGTTAAAGATTGGCTGGCCTAACGTATCACTTTGCCATATAGAACTAGTTCATTTCGTAGGCTGGGAACAAAACACGTGTGCAGTTTTCTATATTTAGGTTTGGGTACCTAAAAATTCGTTTGACAGGTTGGCCGACTAGCATAAAATGATCGTCTTTGCAGGTCACTGACATCTCACTTCAGTCAGCATGGGTTGGAGTTCTGGGCTCTGCCCAACTGGGTATGCGAGAAAGCTAACTATTAGCCTTCCGTGAGTCTTACTTCGACGGCTTTTTCAGTGTTTTCCTCTCCAAGTATGATGATAGCTTGTATAACCTGTTGTTTGCTGGAAATGACGTTAAACCCATAACAATAACACCAACATAAACCGTAAATATGCCTTGTTCTAACCTTTACTTTTGGTTTTTAATTACTTAATCAGTATACCGCCAAACTGGTGCACTTCAGATTCCTTTCACTCTTCTTTCCGCAAACCCCGACTTAGCTCTCCATGGATTTATCTCAGTCTGAGGCGAAATAATAGACAAATTATGAACCTCCCCTGAAACATTTATGTAATTATTTATACAATGCAGAGACAAGTAGAAGGCTTGGATTGGTTTGATGGGGTATAATGCCAGTTTCAGCACGTGATAGCCTATTCATAGCAGCTTGTATATTTGGTTGAGGAAGAAACTGGTAAGGTACGGACAAGTATTCTTATGGGCCCTCGATGGAATCAAACAGAAGTTACACGTTTGAGTGATCTGTTAAATTGAGCTTACTAGAATATTCTGCCAGCCGAGTCCCAAAATAGCTGAAAAAATCAAAAGCGTGCTAAAGGACGTACGTTTGTGTTTGTGTGTGTGCTTGGATTTTAGACGTAGTTTTAACAACGTGAGTCACATCCATACGATATCGTCATTGTGGCAGTTTGTAATGATATCTAGAACTAAGGCATCATACCTCAGACATGTGACATCATATTCAACGCTTTCACATTTTCCTGACACCAGGCCGACCAATACTAACACTAACCTCCAATGCTGCGCGACAAGTAATGCAAGTGCTAGTACCAGTTTTGGTATGACTCGGCCGGGCTTCGAACTGGCAAACTTCCGCACGCGAGGCGGATGCTTTAACTCCTTAAACCATCGGAGCGATCTATTTTTTCATAATGACATTGTATATTTTGTTACATTACATGAACGTAATCGACTTGTGGTTGACCGCCATATCGTCAAATGGGAAAATACCGCCCGATGATAGAGCACCTGACATACCATAACTTGTTGTATTTCCAATAGGCAAGAAATTTCTTATAGTAAAATTATAATCAAAACTTAATTCGAATGGAAGAATACATGTACTATGTTGCTGTCTGGGTTTTTCTTCAAAATAAAAGGTAAACGACCCATTGACCCATCGTTTCATTTACCTATTCAATCATACGTTAGTCCTTACATTCTTCCAAATATTAAGCAATTTTGTTTACCAAGGCATTCGCAGCCTAAACTAAAATTTCAAATTGAAAAGAAAACGCCATAACATAACTCCCGCTGAGATGACAGAATTTAAAGATATTTGAGACCAAGGCAAATCCTTTTCAAAACTTTGTAATTACTTATAATAACGTCTTCAATACACTGGGAAATTAAAAATAACCTGAATCATAATGAAAAGAACTCAACAAACTGCTTTCAGCAAATAGTTAATACTCCAACACCTCGAACTGAATAAAGACTGAAACGACACTATGACAGTAATTTGATAATTGACATAAATCTGAGACTCCCGGCACTGCACCGCGTCACTTAACATATTAAATGTAATGCATTAAATGACAAGGTTATTATTTGCGTGTTTTCCTGTTTGACCTTTCACGTATAGATCTTAGGCAGTTTTGAATCATAAGCTTAAAAAATTAATGTTATATAAGAAAAGAAAGATTTGAAAAGAAAGAAATATAAATGTGTTTAAGTAACACGGATGCCGCAGTACAATGCTTACAATGGCTCAAACTTTAGCCTAATGAGGGTAACGGGACATTAAAAGAGTAAACGAAGTATATGAATGCATTAACTCAAATAGTAAGTTAATCACTCCCCCCCTCTCTCTCTCTCTCTCTCTCTCTCTCTTAATTAAATGTGTAATAAGTGTACTTTTGAAATACGCATGACCCAGATAGCATGGTGCTAATACACGTACTTTATTCATCTGCTATCCCGGGTTCCTTTACTGAATTTCACCTCTAAACACGTTTTTGCCTGTCCACTGCATTTTTTCACCCCACCTCTAATAATTATGGAAATGAAAGTTGTTCAATTGTTACAACAACGTTCAATTGTTCTATAGATTAGTGAGTAGAAACAAAGCTTAAGAGACTGAATCATCAATTAATAATATTTAATAGGAAAATAAAAGCGTACATTTTGAAGAAGTCGATACTATTTCTTGTACATAGTACATCTTAATCAAGAATTTGATAGATTTCGTTTTGAAATAAGCATGGCACAGATAGTGCAGTTCTAACAAGTTTATTGGACACCTCTGCATTCCCGGGTACCTTCCTTGGCTTTAAAAAGTGCGACGATGAATTGGTCAGCAGATGATATCTGCCGTAGAAGACTGACCGTTCATTACATTTATCAACACTTGAACTAGCTAGTCCGATGTTAGCACATATAAGAAATCACCTGCATGAACTCGGTGTCGATCTGATTTTCGAAATTTACTAAAACGATTGCGCTAATATGGCAATGACAGAGTGAAACAATTTGTAAAATATCGAAAACGTCATAACAGTTATATTATGTTTCCAAAGGCAAGATAATCTACGTAGGTGTAATTAGATGAAAAATGTACTTAAACTAACAAATACTGCTCATTAATATCTTGTTTAAAAAAACCACTAGCAAACACTCCTACTTCACTAATTGACATGCATTAACAACGACTACTTGTGCACTACCTAGTCATAAATTTACTAAATCAACTGACATACACTAATTGTAGTGTCTAATTGCACAAAAACACATGCACTATCTAGGTTTCAGAACACATTTTAGTCGCGACATTGTTACAATCACGTACTACATTTCATCATTGTAAATTTCAAAACTTGTACGCTTTGTTCCTTATTCGAGTTTATAACGACAGTGTATTTGTACGCCCGTTCATTCTCACTTGATAAAGTGAATATCCCGGGTATCGCAGAGCGTTTGTAGTTTCACAAATTTTGGCAACACTTTTGAGTCATAAAAATGTCCAGTAACGGCATTATTAAGTAGAGGCACCAGATGTATGGGTTTGTTGCATAGAAAAAAAATTCGTATAAAACCTTCTTGATATTCCCACTACTTCGAGTGATTTGTCGTCGCTGATCCAAATATTATTGTTTCTTTTTTCGTCCATTTAGAAATAGTTCATATGTGTTTCATTAAAACATTCCGAGTCATTCTTTTAATATTTGGCGAGGATCAGCTATGGAGATTGTTTCACATGTATGTACTTGATTGTTACACATGTATGTACTTGATTGTTACATATGCATATACTTGACTGTTGCACGTGTATGTTTTGGATCAGCTGTAAACATATGCGGGATCAATTTAACATAATTGTTTTATAAGTTTTGTATGATTTTTAAAAATAGTAAAAGTTCCCAAATTAATGGCCATTATATTGTCAATATTTCAACTATGAATCGAGCGTTTTCATCAATTGGCACACTCGTATCAGCTATTTTTCGCTCACCAACAGAATACAGCAGTCTTCCAAAATGTGGGTCATCCACAAATTCATAACTACCTTTATAACAATGCAAAGACATGAAAATTGATGGACATGACACAGAACTACATCACTACACTTTTCTACGTAATATGTGATATCAGTAAGAGGATGCCCTCAGTGTTCCTGGACCTTACAGCATGTTCTGGATTAATAGCAGAGTAATTATCTTTCTCCAGTGGCCTAGTGGTTAGAGCGTCCGCCTTGGATGCTGGAGGTCTTGGGTTCGATCCCTGACTGAGTCATACAAACATTTACAAAAATGTTACTAACAGCTGTATCGCTTGGCGTTCAGCATTAAGAGGTTAGTTTTAGGACTGGTCTGCCTGGTGTCAGGATAATGTGACTGCGTGGGACATCATGCTACATGTCTGCGGCATGATGCCATAGTGCTAGACATCACTATAAACTGCAGTGCCCCAAGTAGCTTAATGGTCTAAAGCGCTCTCGTTACGGATCACTGCCATCTCACCTCTGTCTGCGTGGGTTCGAGTCTAAGATTCCGCGAATGTGGATGTGCGAGAAAGATTGCCATTATCTTCGCGTGGGTCGGTGGTCCTTTCCGCGGATTTCCCGGTTTCTTTCTCCACCATTATTACTGGCCGCCATGTATAGCCTATCATGTGCTGAAAAATGGCGTTAAGCCCTACAACAACAATTACAACAACAACACTATAAACAACACTCTGCAGGCATTGTTGCGATATGACTGAAAAAGTGTTAAAGCTACGTTAAAAAATCCAAATCATACACAAATCATAGCTTAAAATTAATATAACAATTGGCTTCTTAACATCTAGTTATATATATATATATATATATATATATATATATATATATATATATATATATATATATATATATATATATATATATATATATATGAAACTATTAAATATAGATGAATCTTGATGTGTACCATATCTTCAAACAATAGTAGGTGACTGTGGCCTTGACCTACGTTTAATTATTTCATTGTTCACTAACTGGTAAATAAAATTTACTCTTTTTTCTCAATCTCAGTTTATGTTGGGATTAACTAGATTAACTAGATTATTTTTCTTTATGAGTACTTTTTAAGAACGATTAAGAGGTTAGGACTGGTTGGTCTGGTGTCAGGATAATATGATTGGGCGGGACATCATGCTGCATGTCTTCGGCATGATGTCCCAGTGCTAAGACATCACTATAAACTGCCACACTGCATGCATCATGGCGATATCGCTGAAAAATTGTTAAAGCTACGTTAAAACTCTAAATCACACTCACACACACTCTTTCTCTGATATTCTTGGTCACCTTCATTATTTATTTTACGTGAAAGAATCAGACTATTTTGCTTATCGTTATCTTTTCTACCGATTATGATTTAATTTGTTTCAAGGTTCAAAGAAGTAAGATGATATAACAAACAATTCAGAACATGTAATTAACAATCAATTTAATGTGGGGACCGTTTTAGTTTCCTATTGATTTGTAAGTTGCTTGTCTTTTAGACTTGTTACTATATGTTTTCAGTGAAATGTTAGCTAATGTTTATGCTAAGGACAGACTGGGACAAGTGATCTTTATGTTGTATCACATGTTGTATGATCCTGATAATTCATACATATAACATCTGGAAGCATTGAAATGCTGCGAAACACAATCAATTAATCTGCCAATCAACCATCCATATTTCTCCAAATGTATGGAGGACTCATGGAAATCCAAAGGAAAAAATACGTTATTTACTTCAAATATGACCTAATGTTGAAGGAGCGTAATTGAATACATGCAAATACATCCATGCTTTAGTCTAGCTTATTTGCTACATACTTGCACTATGTATTGACACTGTTCGTGAACATATTGATTGTAACTTTCAGGCACAATTCCTACCGGATATGTTAAAGTGTACCTTCTTTGTGACGACAAGGCTTTGACTTTTGCCTTTATAACCATATACAAGTTGATCATTTTATGACTAGTACTGTAGCTCATAGTAAAGAACAGGAACTACTATCATTGACATTAATTTAAAAACAAGAAAATCAAAATATTGTTCTAAAGATAAACCATTGTAAAAAATTAAAAAGTAATTCTAATAATTAGCTTTACATTCAAATAAAATGTCTTGGATGTCGCCTTCAAATGATGGATGATGTGACCTTACTTATGTCGAAAGCTCTTTTATTGTATGATTATTACAGAGGTTTTCATTATTAAAAATACTACGATTTGTGTTATTGGTTATTTTTTGCAGCTTAGATAACTCCACAAGAGAGCACTGTGATATATCCATGCTTGCAATAAATTTCGTTCAAAATAAACTTACGAACTTTACATGCTAGAAATATTCACATTCAGAATAATATCTGTATATATCAGGAATTAAATTTGGATCGTTGAATAATTTAAGCTTGTCAGTGACCGTCATTTTCTCAGGAGGATCCCATCCATATCTACATAATTCAATAAAATGTTTAGATTATCGACGAAAGTAGAGTCCGATGATTAATGATATTAATGGTGAAAACATGTGCTATTATCGTTTGAAGAAACAATTTCTTATAGTAAAACTACCAACAAAAACTGGGTGGAATTTATATACTGTCCCTTTTATCAATCTGATATGTTAACTAACACCAGTTTATCAATGCATCTACTCACTCACCCACCCTTGCACCCTTTTTACAGTCATCATTACTCGATTCCTTACTAGGGATATATCCATTTCCGGCTCACTTCCCAAACATGCTCACCACACACACATCACAGCTGACCCCTACCCTTGGAGGTGGAGGGGGGCAGTGAAAATACATTTCACATAGGGGAAAATCTTCAACTATAAAAAAATATAAAAAACATCAGAAAAACATTATAATGGTATTAGATATTCGATATCTAGACCAGTTTGCATTTACTTATACTGAAGTTTTTAAGACATTTGAAATTAAGGAATACATTAAATCCCGATGAAAATAACTTAAGCAAATAACGTATACTTTGGCATATTCATGATAAATATAATGAGAAAAGAAACCATAATTGTACCTTGATAATAAACGCAAGATTAGGGCAAGTCTTCTCTTAACAAATGTAATTATAGATAATGAAAAAAATTAAGGCACTTGGAAATAAGTAATAAATTAAATCACGATAAAAAGGACACAATGAACCTAGTTTTGTAGAGACCAAATATTTGGCAAACAAATACAAAAATAACTTTGAATAATGGTGTGACGAGCAGGTACAAACCCATGGACATTGTATCACTATTGACCAGACGGTAATGGAACATAAAATGACCAAAATAATCTAAAATGATCTTGATGTATAAAATCCGATAATCATAATCAGTCGATCACACATTCTTCTGTATATATATATATATATATATATATATATGTATATATATATATATATATATATATATATATATATATATATATATATATATATATATTTATATATATATATATATTAATATATATATATATATATATATATATTAATATATATACATACACTAAGAAAGAGAGAGAGAAAAAAATATTAAGTTAGCAAATAGGTGTCTTTCTAGAAAGAAGGGCTGGACATGTCCTCGACTGATTAACAAATAAATGAAACATAGTAGTAAAATAAAATATATGCATGCAATTGAGACTGGTAGGAAACGACTCTGTTTCGTGTAAAGAATACATTAAAATAAATCAGAGAAAGATAATTTAAAAAGAAAGATGGCCTATATAAAACATTCAAACAAATTTACTTTAAATCTCTACCGTTCCCAGAACGTGCGACTTTATAATATTTGGTAGTCTGATATCAGCTACAATAGACCCAACACCTATTAGATTTATCAACACTTCAATGAGCAACACCGATTTTCAGGTGGGTAAGAATGTACCATAACATAGAGGATCAACCTGACTTCCAAACTGTACTAAGGTAAATAATGACAAAATGATAATGAAAAAGTAAAATAATATGAAAACTATTTATTCTTAAATCTGAGAAGTCAAATTCTAGTCACAGAAGCGACTGATCTCAAACTTATTAGCCGATGCAAAGCTTGACGAGAAAGCGAAATAATTTTATTTCATCATCATGATCATCATCATGTATCCCACAACAACTCTCTCCATCTTTCCTTATTTTCATCTCCTTTTTAGGAATCTACAAAACGCATGCCTGTTCCACTCTTTAATTTGTCGTCCCAGCGGTAAATGTAATTAAACAACACAAATAAGTGGGACAATTGCTTTAAACTGGCTCGATTGCAGCAGAGTAAAAATGATAAAACGAATTGAAAAAAAAAGTACGAACTAAAAGTGCTGTGAAGATTATATGCAATCAATGCGAAGACAATAGTTCTAGACTAGGATATTAAGCAAACTTAGAGAAATTAATGCCAACAGGGAGGAAAATTGGAAAAATAACGTCCACTGTGATAGGAACATATATTGTTTGCCTTAACTTCTAAACCCTCCTACAGCCCCGCAAAATTGTTTTTGGCAGTCCAGATGATCTTGATATTAGAACATCCCACTTCAGTTTGCATTGTTTCTTAGTGGCAGGGAGGTTTTCGTATGGTCGGATGATGCGATGGATTATGTTGTGGAATTCTTGATAGTTAAAAGGTCAATGTATCATCTCCCCAAAGTTTAGCGGTAGCATCGTATTTCAAATGTTTGAATTATATTTTGTAGTCTGGTCCTAGTGACTATTTACAGCGTCTGATAAATGACCTTTATCTACGCACTTACGCCATTCTGTGTCATCAATATGTTCGTTTCGGCGCTCAATCCTTTGTTAATTAACTCTCACTTTTCCATTCCAGCCCCTTGTCCAAACATAATATCCTTCACAGGTGAATTGTCTTATGCTCTCTGAGTTGGTTATAGAGTTGTCAAGTTCGTTGTCATCGTAATCAAATGTTGGTGCATATACCAGTATGATTGTTATGTTAGAAGGAATTACCTGCAGGCGGATGGTAACAAGGCTCCAGTAGACTGGGCGGTATGCTGTTAACCATGCCTTTGTGAAGAAAGAAATATAACACCATTTAGTCAAAGTGTTTCCAGCGCACTTCAGTGAAACCAAGAATTTTCTAGTTATACCTCTCTAATTTGTATGTGAGTTATTTCAACTTTCTCATTGCCCTCACTGTTCACGCGTTCCATAAACTGATGATGTGATGTCGTCTCTCTCGCGGATATTGATCCAGGGACACCAGTATCTTATTCCATCCCGTACCAACGACTAT